TTACATCCATTCGTTTACAAATTTTAACAAATGTGTCATAACCGGGATGTCCCAGCCTTCTATTCCAAGTTTCAGAAGTTTTGGAGGATGACATGGCAGTATGAGTTGTGGCTTCATCATTTCCTCTTATGGAGTTGGCAGCTTTGAAGGAGTATAGGCCACCACATTCTATACCACGCAATAACACAACCTTTGTGTCTTCATCTCTAACACAACTGGTATTAACATGGAATTCAAGAAACACGCGGTTATCCCTAGCAAGCTTGGAAACAGAAAGCATATTCTTAGTAATGATGGGAACATGTAGAATATCACTTAAAGATAAGGTGCGCGAAGAGGCTTGTAATTCAGCTTTGCCAACTTTACAAACAGTCAATGAATCCCCATTCCCAACTATTAGCTTACCATGATTATTGAAGTTTGAGTGTGAAGTAATCGAAACTGCATTAGGTGTAACGTGGTGGGTCGCACCTGAGTCAATCACCCACTGTTCTTAACCAGCAGCACTGGAATGTGCCTGGTTTTGCCCTGCACTTCTGTTACCATCATGATATGTATTGCCATGACTGCAGCAGCCACATGCATTACCACTGACTCCGTTGGCAGCATAATATGCTTTAGAGTTTTCAGACCCTGAGATATGGTCATCAAGTGTAATACCAGTAAACTCTTCATCAAAACTATGCCAGCATTGACTAACAAGGTGTCCATTTTTTCCACATATTTGGCACTTCACCTTGGGTCGAGTTCTGCCCCTGCCACGAGATCTCCCTCGAGAGTGGGTCGAGCTGTTGGCTCTATATTGTTGCTTCTCATGACTCTTGTTAGTATCAACATCTAGTTTCCCTTGTGTAAGATTGGCACTAACAGGTAGAGACTCAGGTTGATAATCGAAGCCCTCAATTTGTGTTTCAGCATAGAAGAGCATGGTGCAGATGCTGTCAAGTGATAATAAGTCAAGCATGGCAGATATGACTGCAATGAAAGGCTGGTACTCCCATGTAAGGCCTTTAACGATGCTAGCAACATGTTCAGATTCTGGAATTGGACTGCCACAAGAAGATAATGCATCAATGACTTCTTTTACCTTGGTAAGGTAGGTCCTCATGTTGTCTCCTCCCTTCTTGAGGGACTGCAGCTTGTAATGTAAACTCATTACAGCAGTAGTAGATCAGCTTGCAAAGAAATGTAGGACTTTATTCCACACATGCGCCGATGTTTCAGCACCAACAAACTGAGGAAGTAAGTGAGGACTTACAGTTGATAGTAACCAGGAAGCTAGCGCGCTATCTTGGGCCATAAATTTTTCATATTCTTCATTGATAATCGTGGTTCCCTCTTCGCCAGTCACAGTTTCTAGAGGGGCTAGCATTGATCATGTTAGCATCCGCTTAAGACGATGACTGCGCACGGTGAGAAGCACTTGCTGTTTCCAAAGTAAGAAGTTTGACTCATCAAGAATCACGTTTACCCTTTTGTTGGTGAAATCTTTGGTGTTTCGGGTTGAAAACTCCATTGAAGTAGCTGTGGATGAGGCACTTTGATCCATAGCAGCACGAGCAGCGGAAACAGCCCCTAGGATACGGTAACGAATGATACCATATTGAACATTCAAGATAGCTAAGCTAAAAACAGATGCAAGAACATAATACTTTCTTTCACACATCTTCAATTCATCCTTTACAGCCTATATATAGTTCAAGTATACAAGCAGTTACTCATTAGTTACAACTACTAACAGACACTTCAATAGCCTAACTGACTAACACCTTAACTGCCTCAACTACACGAGCACAGCCATCAGCATCTATTAGCTGCATCTCAGCCTCATGGGTGGAGACTACATGCATCACGTGCAAGCACATTCCAACACACAATAGCAATGCTGCTCTATGGCAGTCTGTAATTCCCCAACAACGCCTCTTAGATTTCTTTACTCTTGATGCTAATGACTAGCTTCTTATGAATCTTGAATCTAATAGGATATTTGTTGGCACAAATATTCCCTGAAAAATTATTTTCTCTTCTATAACTTAACAGGTTTGGAAGCGAAGGAACTCCATCATCTTTGCTAGCGTGAACCTCTCTAATGGCCAATTAATTTGTCTAAGTAAGAATTGGTCTCAATATTTCATCACAGTACATTCTCTTTCAATCGGTGCCGACTTTTCCTCTCCTGAGCTAGTCCAACTACGACATGCGCCTGCTGGTTGGTGTACCCTCAACACTGACGGTGCAGTTTATAATATTTCTTCTTTTGGTTCGACAAGTAGTCTCATTCGAAATTATTATAGAGATTAGATTGTTGGATTAAATAAACCGGTCGAGATTTCGTCTCCTTTGCAAAATGAACTTTGGGGCATTTTTGAAGGACTTCAACTAGCGTGGTCCCATAGAACTGAGCGTCCTCAATGCCAAATGGATTGTGTGCGGAAGCTTTTAAACTAATGTCTTCACCAACGGCAAACTCCAGCCCCATATCACTTGTTCGTTATATTGCAAGCCTCATTTTTAAACCACAGATACTTTACTTTCTTCTCATTCGTCGTGAAGCTAATGTTGTTGTTGATTCTCTTGCCAAATCCACTATTAATACTGATGGTCAATCATGCATATATTTAAAAGCCCCTATGAGATCGTTTGTCATCTCACTCGTAACCTTCATGGGTCCTGTTTTTGTTCGCAATTAATATTGGTCTTCAATCTTACTATAAATAAATAAATAAATAATTAAATAATTAAGATAAACTATAATTTTAATATCTCAACTTTGTTTTAATACTTAAATTTTATTTTTTAAAAATATTATACTTAAATTTTAGTTTATATTTTAATTTAATATTTCATTGTTAAAAACTTAATAACAACAATAACATAGAGTTTACAGTTCGAGACACGTGGAATATTGGAAAGGGACAATAATTTAGTTTATATTACGTTGAGTTCTATCTCACCCCTACTACACGTGTATGGCCATAAAGAAGCAGAGCAGTCAACATCCCCATGAATTCGACGCAAATAACTCGGATGAAAGTCTATAAATTGGAGCCAATCTTCATCCTCAACCACCATCAACAATAAAACCTTAAGTCCTTTGCATTAAGCTTTAAGAAAAACAAAGAAAATGACGAAGGCTTTGATTGTCGTATTGTCATTTGCCCTCATCCTCTCAACACAATCCATTGTAGGGCATGGTAAGCAAATCAAAGACTTCGTCAGAATCGAGTTAGGCTCCGAAGGAGACATTGCCAGTGAGATAACTTCGTCATCTGATGGAGAACTTTCTCTCGCTCAGGCAGAAAAGATCAGCGAGGAGATCGAAAAAACCTTCAAACGGAGGGGAAAAGCCGCCGCGCCGACCCAGGAGGCCGTTGCATCATCGGATTCCGATCAGGATGAGAAAGAAGATGCGGCATCCATTGCTGAGGCTATTGCAAGTCAGGTGGAAGCCAACAAGATAATTGAAGCTCTTTCCCCTGGACCGGAGTAGTGCAGCTGAGGAGGATAATGGCGGTACGATGGAGGAGGGGGATTTTCCAAGAGATGATGATGAACTTATTCCTAAATATGTACTCTCATTGTATTAAGTGATACACGTCTATGTTTATATATAATAAAGATTCTTGAAATCTCTTGCTTAAGTTTTTTTTTTTTAATTATTTGAATGGGCACAATCTTCATACGAGTTGATGATAAAAAATTAATAAATTAGTTTTCTTTAGATATAATATATATTTTATTCAAAAATAATAATAAATTTAGGATCTGTATTTTATTGGAAAAATTTTGGCAACGTAGAGTGCGTTAAATTTTCTTTTTAAATAGAGTGTTTGTTATGGCATTTATTTAAAATCATCTAAAATACACTACGCTTTCATTTGCAGTCTGATGCAGGGGGGAAAGAGCGTGGTGCAGACAGTTTGCTTGAGGACAAAGGGATGAACCAAAGGCTCACTGGGCGTCTGCTTTATCCCACACACACTAGGCCAGATATTTCATTTGCAGTACAACACTTGGGTCAGTTTATGCATGAGGCAAAAAAATCACATTTTGAGGCTGCAATGAAGGTAGTCAGGTACATCAAAGGGAGCCCAAGTCAAGGCATTTTGTTAAAACCACTTGTGATAGACAGTTGCGTGCATTTTGCGATGCTGATTGGGCAACTTGTCCCTTGACCAGGAATTCTATTAGTGGATTTTGTGTGAAGCTTGGTGATTAATTGATTTCGTGGAAATTGAAAAAAAAAAAAACAACTCTAGCGAGGTCTACATCTAAAGCAGAATACCGAAGTATGGCTGCTGTGACTGCTGAAATAGTATGGTTGCAAGGGCTGCTTGCAGAACTTGAAATCAAGGAATCTGGGCCTGCAAAGCTGTACAGTGACAGTAAAGCAGCCTTGCAGATTGCTGCTAATTCGGTCTTCTATGAACGTACTAAACATATTGAGATAGATTGTCGCTTCATTAGGGAGAGGATTCGTGCAGGGCAGATAGTTGCTGAGCATGTACCAACGGTTGATCAGCAAGCAGACACCCTAACAAAAGCTTTGGGAGCTCGGCAGTATCACTAAACATTGTATTCTGTAGTTGGAATAATTTATGATGTGCATATTTTCACGTGCTCTCTACAACATTAGTATAGAGTGAATACGAAATAGATTGCTTAAGCCTTCTTGAGATGTATGCAATGGTGCAGTCAAAGAGCTAAAAGTTTATTTGTAGCTTTATATCCATACACAACTGATAATGTAAGAAAAACACCAAGATAATAAGGAATTGTTATTGCACCAACTAGTAAGAAATTATAAAAGAAAATCTAAAAATAAGTTGATTTTCGGAACCATTTTGTAATGATTTGATTATGTTAAGTCTTTGAAAAGCTCGTCACTTGGTTAGAATTACCATCGGTCGTTTACAGCCAAATACCTTCAAACTTAATTTGTAATTGATATTAAAATCTAATCCCTAAACCCTAACCCAACTATAATTGCTAGTGAATAAGACAATAGAGGAGATTAGCAAATAAACAAACATGATACATGAAAAATACCCGACTTTGGCAAAGTTCAAATCAAAGAATCTTTAATGGAAGATCAGCATATCCCACCCGAGCTTTGTGTCTCTCAAATAGATCTTGAAGAGCTTTAACAAATTGGTCATGTACTTCAAGAACCTGAGAATCAGATTAACTAATTCATATGCTATTTAACCCAGAAAATAGTAAATTCTACCAATGAAGCATTATAAGAAAATACCTCTTCCTTAGTAGGTTGCGGGTTTTTTGTCAAGTAAATAGGTTTCCCTACCACTATATGCATCGGATGTTGATATGGTATCGGAGTTCTGCAAATTAAACAAAAGTTGGAGATAAAATGTGCAGTCCAATATACAGTATGATATATATAATTATATGTATAAAAACGCGGAGAATAATATAGATTCGAGTGCGTTTAAACACACGATAACTTTCGATTTATGGGTAAGAAAAAGGAATAGGATTGGTTCCATATTAAGCATAAAAGATAAAGTTTAGTGCCATACACGAAAACTCCCCAAAACAGCATGGGGACGAATTTGATAGCTCTTGAAAGTTGCAGGATGAACTTGCCACCTGGTTTCCACCACTGGTACGCATTTGACTGGTGTAGAAGTAAGAAAGACGCAAGGGAATTAGATTCAAGTGGTGTAGAATATTGTTGAAGTTGTTTGATATATGATAATAACAATAATAAGCTAAAATGCATGAATAAATGAGGAATTAACACTATTACTTACCTGACCAAAGGCGAAAACTGGAACCAGTGGACACCCTGTTTCCATCGCTATCCGAACAAATCCTCTTCTTGCCTTAAGGAATGCAATCTGTATATCCAGAAATAAACGAAGAATTATTATGTTGCCAACATAAACAGAGAAAGAAGAAGAAGACCGAGATCAAAAAAGAAAACCCATTGTAAGTTTTGGGTGTTGGAGAAAACTGGGTATGGCAAACATGTTCTGTCAGAAGGGATTAAAACAACCTGAGCAAAGAAGTAAAAAACAAGAACAGAGTCATAGAAGAATGAACCTCAGAGCCATGTTCCATGTTGAATGTCTCTTGAACACCACCAGGCACTACAATACAACTATAACCAGCTTCCAAAAGAGAACAAAAGCTCTTCCTTGTGGCTGCTGAAGCACCTAACCATGTCCAAATATGCCTCAAAAATGGAGCGTAGAATACCTAGAGTCATTCATGCATACCAACCAAATTATGGCTAAAAAGAAAACAGAGTAGTAGGGTGTGGATTACATAGTACTAAATTGCGGCCGCAACACGGCCACATCCTATCGTTTTCCAATATCACTGCGACACCACAATCACATACACAATTCAAAAATATAATTACTTTTAAGAAACAAATCAGGTCTTAACGTCTGCAACATCAACAAAGGCCACAACAATTTAGTACTATAGTGTGGAATGTGAAGGATATTAGAGTTTGAGGGTGAAATTGGGCTTACAGCGCTGGAGGCAAGGCATTTCAGTTTGGGGAGAGGCATGAAACCTGTAAGCTCGGCCAGCGTTACAACTCCGATTGGTAACACCGAATGTGGCTCGTAGCCAAAAACTGCAGAGCATTCACAAGCTAACATCTATTATTTTCTAAACAATAGATGCTTCATTTAACTACTTGTTAGTTTGTTTGTTTAACATTTACAAGCATTTTCCTGAGCATTTTAAAGTAAAGATTAAAAGAAAGAATGAAAGAAATAGACCGTAGGCACGATCAGGATGGAAGTCATTGATATCCTCAACGTGGAGAGTGGTGGGAAAATAACTTGACATATGCCAACATATATACCTGTTCATTCAGTTCATCATCGATTGTTAATCTCAAAATTAATATGAACAAAAACAAAGAACACATAACTAGAGAAAAGATCAGAGCAATGGTAATGGGACCTGGCCAATCTCCGTCCAAATTTACTGTTTTGATCGATAGGAAGAACCATGAAAAACAAAAACACTCCAACTACCCTGTGAATACCGATACAAATAAGACATGAGTTTCCGTTTTCCATGAAAAACATAGTGATACTTGGAAAGAGTAAGGAAAGAGGACGAACAAAAGGAATTTGGAGAAAGGAAGGAAGAAAAGGGAGACACAGAAGACGAAGAAGTTGAAATGCATAGATCCAATCCACAACGCACAAGCTAATACACCGTGCAAAATGTTGGACGGGAATTCATTTCTTCCATTAAATTCCCGATATCCAGATCCAGGCACGTACGCCTTCCTCTCCTCCCTTTCTTCCACCATCGAACCGCCGCCTCTGACCTAATCACCGCCGCTTTCAACTCCGCAATCCCTCCCGAATTTGGTTAACAACAACTATCACAAATCATTCGGCCCAATTCTAACCTTTTTATAGGCCCCCGTCGTCTGGTCTCTTGTCAGCAGTGGTCGGCGGGTTCTCAAATATGAACTGAAGAAAAATGTGCAGCATTCTACTAACGTTCCACGAACAATCTATTTCAAATCGTATGTCTTTTTAGGTCTAATGTTTAGCATAAATTACTTTTTCGATCAATCAATTTTGACTATATTTTTGTTTTAATAACTGAAATTTGTTTTTTCAATTTTTTCACTTTAACTTTGAAATTGTTTCTATTTTTATTACTCAACTATTATATTAATAACAACATTATCAAAATTTTGGTCATGTTACATGTAATACATAAAAAAAATATTATTAAAATTAATTATTATAAAATATAGATAAAATAACAATTTAAATAAATTTAAAGTCAAACCTCAATAACCATCAATCAATTGGCTTAGTAGCAGAGCCGACCCTAGGCGGGGGTGGCCCTGGGCCGGGGCAGAAGGGGCACCCGCCCAGGGCCCATAAAAGTTTTATACTATATTTTTTTTATAATTTTTTAAAATTAGGAGTTTATTTCTTTTATATATTTTTGTGTGCTTTAATATTTTTTTTACATTTTTTGAGATGATAATGACTTACTATTTGTTTATTTTAATAAAAAAATTAATATCAATTTTATACTATATATTTTTTTATAATTTTTAAAATTAGGGGCCCATTTCTTTTATATATTTTTGTGTGCTTTAATATTTTTTGACATTTTTGGGATGATAATTAATTACTATTAATTTATTTTAATAAAAAAATTAATATCAATTTTATACTATATATTTTTTATAATTTTTTAAAATTAGGGGCCATTTTCTTTTATTTCGCCCCGAGCCAAAAATACCCAGGGCCGACCCTGCTTAGTAGGATGAAACACTAAATTTCTTAAGTAAGGTTATATGTTCGAATCATGACATTTGTGAATGCAGTAAACTGGGTTGAGAGGATCGTCCCCATAATAGACCTTTGTAAAATATAATATGTATTAACCGATCAATAATAAATTCAAAAAAAGTTAAACCTCAATAAATATAAATAAAAACGCGCATATTACTATATTTAAATTAAAAAAAAACACATACATCCATTTAATGTACATAAAATAAATCAAACGTTGATACTCAAAGATTAAGAGTTCCACCACTACAACCTTATATGTTATATATATCTATGGAGATGTCATTCGAAAAACTCTAGCTTCTAGCACATCAGATTTGTCAGTACTTCATCAAATTAACTATAATACAAAGGTAAAAACTATCAAACTCTCGTGATTTATCAAGATAAAATCTAAGATTTGACCACAATTCTCTTAGCAATGACAATTCTTTACTTAAGTTAAAAAAGAAAAACCAATAATGATCAATAAGCTAAATTCGTTCCATATAGCTCTTTCGATATCTCATTAACATATTGATTAAGTTGATCATATATATTTAAACTTTCATCAATTCAAGCATCAACTTGAAAATCTATATAAATATTTTTTTTGATTTTAAAATATTTTTAAAATAAATGTATAATTATAATCATAGTCCTAATGATTATTAACGAAAATCATAGAACTAATAGACGTGCAGGTCAAACTTCAAAGCAATCACATGCTGCTGCACGTGTTTCTAGGAAACAATAATTATTATAAAAATTGCAAGTTTTGAGGCTTAAGCATACATTTATTTTTTTTAAATACAACAAAGAGTTAATTATTAATTGATCTAACAAGATACAATATTATATTTTCTAAATTAATTTAAAGATTTAAATCATAATACTATAAACATAACAAATTAAGTTAGAAAGATCGTCCTATAATAGATATTTATAATTTTTTATTTGAAATAATTGATTAACAAATCGAACACTCATAATTAATAAAAAAAACACTCTTAATTCGTGAGTTTAATGTTAAAGTTATATATATATATATATATATATATATATATAAATAAATTTCTGAGATTTTAAATCAATGTATTATTATATATAAATATTATGAATTGATTCAAGTCTAAATTAATTTAATTTTAGTTTATCATATGATAATATTATTATATATATTCCAATTATATTTATGATTATACATTATAATAATAAATTTTAATTGTAATTATACTTATAATTAAAATTCAGAACAATAAATTCCACATGATATGTTTATATTTATTTATGTATTTCTTAAATTAGATTATACTTCTACGAATTGTAATAAATTAACAAATCGTACCATGAGTTGTTAAATATTTATATGGTTCATTTGATTCTAAGATATATTTTAAATAATTTTGGATAATTATTAATTAATATTATATTTATCTGTTTTAAGCAAAATCTCATTATTAATGCTTTGTTTTAATTGTCTGCCCAAAGAACCTAGCCATGTTCTATGCACCTTTCCAGATCTGATTTATTAAGTTCCATAACGATCCCTTTAAATTGGATTTTCACACTTGTTTTTATTTTTATTTTTTGTGGAGGCAAACAGCTTTCCCACTTATAACTTCAATTGCTATCACGTAGTTTAAAATAATAAAAGATAAAGTTTGATAAATAAAAAATAGGATAAAGTATATAAATGATCCAAACATTATAGGGCGTTGCTTTGTTGAGTTTTACGATTATTAAAAGTTACAAAATGATCTCTCACTATAAGATGTTTTGTTGAGTCATTCGACTATTAAAAGTTACAAAACAATTATCTAACTATTCATATGTTTCAAACTCTTCCTTTTTCATTAAAAATTTGACGGACGTAAGAGCTGTATGTTAGCATGTTGATTGAGATATGATAAAATCTTGTCCCAAAATCGTTGAACTGTATTTTTTGGATCGACTATCCGCTTATAGTATGTCGTCAAACCAGTGCTTGAAGAAAACGGTGGTGCCACTAGACATTATTAAAATATGATTTTATTATATCTCAATCAAAAGTTTAACATTTAATTTAGATAACTGTTAATTTTTTTATCGAAAAAGATGAGTTTGAAGTATAATAATCAAATAATCATTTTATAATTTTTAATAGTCGGAAACTCAATAAAACATCGTCTTATAATCGAACGATTAATCTTTTAACTTTTAATAGTTAAAATATTTAATAACATAACGCCTTTTAATCCATATACCATTTATATACTTTTATCTTGAAAAATTATTAAATTTGATGGCATTTGCTTTGTGCTTTAAAATTGTTTGTATACCAATTATTATAACCCGACAATAATGCAGGCTTCGAGTATTTCAAAGTCATTTAATTTTAATATTTGAAAAATGTTATTTCATAAGCATGGAATATTAGTTAATGTGTGACACATTGTCTTTACCAGAATTAAAAAGAAATTATTTCAGATGTCATTTAGAAGTTTGATCAACTACCTTTTTAGTTTCTGACTGTTTCACTAAAACATATACATGTAGAAAATGCTATATAGGTTTAAATTGAAAATTTTAGCTTCAAACATAATTTATATAATTTTATTGGAATTATTATTAATTAAATAAGAATAAGAATCTCTAAGATAAATGAAGATGAGTAAGATGATACGATCGATGAATTAATTTGTAACTCTATCAAATTAATCAGAATAGAACATAAAGGTATCGATGGCACCTACATGTGCCAAATAAAAGATTTTTAAAAAGGCTCTTATTCACATACATGTATGCAAGCCAAGCGTCTCCAAAGCTGTTATTAGCTAGGGTACTTATTTGATGTTGAATTAAGATGGTACATGAGACTGGCAAATGAAACAAACATTGGTGATCGCTTAAACCACCCAACCTCAAATCAAAGAATCTTTAATGGAAGATCACCATATCCCACACGACCTTTATGCCTCTCAAACAGATCTTGAATAGCTTTTACAAACTGAGCATGTACTTCATGGACCTGTGTCACATGTCTGATTAATGCATCTCATGAAAGTTTGGCAAGTTCATGAAAATAAAAAACAAGTCGGAAAGCAATCACATAGTGCTTTGGCTAACCCTAATGTTCTCGTTAGGTTCGAGTGTGGGTGATACAAGCATAATTAGATTTCTCCATGTATTTGGAAGTCATATATATATATATATATATTTATGTCTCTGATACAAATACTTTATGACTCTTCGCTTTTTGAAGTATTGATAAATAGTATATCATATATGATGGTACTATGAGAAGCACCCGACCTGAATCTAAATAACATAAATGAAAAGCATCATTTACTCACTAAGCAACATCATGGCATTTGCATAAAGTAGGGAGTTGTTCTGTGTCATCAAAGGCAATAAAAGACTACAATAATAGTAAACTCTACCATTGAATTTGAAAGCATTACAAGAAAATACCTCTTCGTTAGTAGGTTGCGGGTTTTTTGTCAAGTAAATAGGTTTCCCAACCACTACATGCATCGGATGTTGATAGGGTACTGGAGTTCTGCAAATCAAATTATTAATTCTTTGGAGGGGTCAAACATACAATTTTTCCATGACTAATAAGGATTGAACTTGAATTAAACTAATAAATTTTTGAAAATTAAAGAATAAAAAAAGAAAGGTTATTTTAAATAATGGTTTGATTTATTTAATTTTAAAACTATTAAGGACCTAGAAGATAATTGAACCAAAAAGTTAATGGTAATGCCATTCCTCCCTCCATCGAAGTAGTTTCCCGACTGTTTCTCCAACCACTATTGAGCAAAAAGGACAAAAGAAAACTGATAAATATAATTTAGTTCATACCCGAAAGCTCCCCAGAATAGCATAGGGATGAATTTAAGAGCTCTTGAAAGCTGCAGGATGAACTTGCCACCTGGTTTCCACCACTTGTACGCATATGACTGGTGCAGAAGCCAGGAAGTTAGATTCAGACGGTGTAGAACATTGTAGAATTTTTTAGAAAAATAATAATTAACAAATTCAAAAAACAATGATCTGCAGGTTATATAATGGTAAAAGTTTTTAATATTATAACATGAAACAAGATCCTTCATATAGTATATATATTTTAATTTTATATTAATTTTAAGATTATTGAATGAATAAAAATAGATGTATGATATTAACTGTAAAAATAATAACATATTCTTTGAAAAATAATTTTATTCATTAAATTTTATTTATCTAATAATACTAAAAAAAATATATATTTAAATGAGTTTTTTTTAATTACAGGGTATATTGGTTAGCTTATCCTGGATGAACGAATTATGAGGTGGGATAATGCTAAATTTAATGAATTCTGATACGGCAAACACGAAGATAACCTGACCGAAGGCGAAAACAGGGACCAGTGGACACCCCATTTCCATAGCTATCCGAATAAATCCTGTTCGTGCCTTGAGGAATGCAACCTGTAATTCCATGTTAGTATATATAGCAAGTTGTTATGGGTTTGATTGAACCAGAAAAAAACAACAGAGATGATATAGAAGAATGGAACCTCAGAATCATGCAGCATGAGGAATGTCTCTTGGACTCCACCAACCACTACAATACAACTGTAACCAGCTCCCAACAGAGAACAAAAGTTCTTCCTTGTGGCTGGTGTAGCACCCAACCATGTCCATATATGCCTCAAGAATGGAACGTAGAATACCTATGTTCATTCATGTTTACCACCAACCAAGTTATGGCTAAAAGAAAATTGAGTAAATTGTAAAGGATATGAAAGTTTGGGGGAGTGAAATTGTCCTTACGGGGCTAGTAGTAAGGCATTTCAGTTTGGGAAGAGGCATGAAACCCGTACGTGAAGCCAGCGTAACAACTCCGATCGGCAACACCGAATGAGGCTCGTAACCGAAAACTGCAGCATTTGCAAGCAAACTGGATTATATGCTCGAGAATTTTAAAGTACAGAATAAAAGAAAGAAGGAAAGAGACCGTAAGCACGATCGGGCTGGAAATCGTTTATGTCCTCAACGTGGAGAGTGGCCGGAAAATAACTGCTCATATGCTTACATATATACCTGCTCATTCCGATCATAAATACTTGTTAAGCTTAAAATTGCTGGGGGAAAAAAGAGATTAGATAATAGAGCAGTGACAAATGACAATGGTTACCTGGCCAGCCTCCGCCCAAATCTATTGTTTTCATCGATCGGGAAAACGGCGAAACCCGCTAGGATTCCAACCACCCTGGGAATATTGAGCCAAAGAAAGAAATGAATTTCTGTGATTTGAATTCTCTTCTTTTCTTTTCAACAAGATAAAGTAATACGGTTAAGAAAGATTAAGAGAAAGGGGGGACGAACAAAAGGAATTTGGAGAAAGGAAGGAAGAGAAGGGAGAAAAGGAGGACGGAGACGTTGCAATGCAAAGATCCAATCCACAACGAACAAGCTAATACGCCGTGCAAAATATTGGACGGGAATTCATTTCTTCCACTGATTTGCCGATATCCAGGTCCAGGCGTATACGCCTGTTCCTCCGCCCTCTCTTCCGCCATCTTCCGACGCCGTTGACCCAATCGCCTCCGCTTTTTAACTCTGCACTTCTCCTCTGTATTTTGGGTTAACTAACACTTCATATCACACAACATTTTTCGCTATGTTTCCCTCTTAATTTCTGTTGCGAGTAAATGGGATGATGCGGTGCATTCCACAACATTTCTACCAAAAGCTAGATTTTTGGGTAAAAGTTTTATTTTTGAGTAAACAACAATAGTGATCCTCAAAGTTTTAGGACACTTGCATTTTGCCTACCAAACTTATAAAATTTATCAGTCTTCAATACTTTATTTTTGTGATATTAAGTCCATGTATTATTTTATTTGAAATTTTGATACATTTTAATTTTTTATTCAATTTTATCTTTAATTTTTTATTTGGTGACTATAAAAATAACTTTATTATTTCTCTTCATTTATAATTTTTATCAATTTGATTCTTAATTCTTAAAATACATAAAAAAAAGCATTAATTAGATAACATAATTTTTAATCTTTTATGTATACAACTTTTAAGAACCGAATTAATAAAACAAAATATAAATGTATAAGACTAAAAAATCATTTTGACTTTTTAATGATTATTTGATCAATAATTACAAATAAAATTGAGCTAAAAAAATAAGATTCTCAAATAAAATGGTATAAAAATTCAATATAATAAAAATTACTCAAATTCAAAGATGGCCATCCACTACCGAAGAGTTATTTTCTACCTAAAATTATCATATATTTAAATTTTTTATATATTTTTTATTAAAAATTTATTTTCATCTCATAAAATTTTATAAACTCTTTTTCTTTTAAAAATTTATAAATTTGACTCTAACATAAAATTTTACAAATTTGACTATAACATAAAATTTTACATTTATCTTTAACCATTAGCTGCATCTAATTTGTTAATGTGTGCTATACTATATATCTTAAATAATTTGAGCTCAAACTAATAATATTCTATTTATATTTATTTGTTTGTTATAAAATTTAATTCATTTTAATTTGTGTTCTTGTTTCTATGGTAACCTCAAATTAATAATTGTTTTCATGTTTCTTAATTACATCACTTTAGATTTAATTGTATTCATCTTATTCTTTGATCGATAAAAACGGTTATTTATCATTTTGTTGTTGACATGATAGCTAATAATATTAACGTAATCGTTTACGTATACTGATATGACAATTCATTTATAAATGATTTTGAGTCATATTTAAACATATAAAAAAATTCATATGTAAACGATATGAGATTTGAGAATATTATAATCAAAATTTATAAATTTTAAGTTGTCAAAAACATATCTTGAATTTGATAAAACTCGTGACAGTACGAGAATTAAAGACAATTGTTGCCTTCTAAAATACTTGGAATTTCAATATCAAAATTGCCTTTGCCTTCTAAAAGACGAGAGTATTTAATCTTTACCTAATTTCAGAATTTACTTTTTCATTTTCTACTATTTCATAACTTAGTTAAGTTTTTTTTTTCTTTATATGGTTTAATTTTGTTTCCGATCATTCTACTATTTAAACTTTTAAAAAGTAATCTCTTTTCTTTTGATTTTAGAGTTTTAATTTTTATTTAAATATTCTAACTATTTTGTGTTCATGATTGTTCTTCTTCTTTTTTGTTTGCTTTTAGGAATAATGCCATGTGGGCTCACTTCCCCATTAGGCATCACCCTTTATAACGTGGCAACATTTTTCTTTTTTAAAATGGGTAAATATGTATTTTAGTACCTAAACTTGGTTTTAATATGTAATTTAGCATCTAAGTTTTTTTATCTAATTAGGTACCTGAAATTAGATTTAAAGTTCAATTAATTTTTTTTTAATCTCAGTTTTGTTAATCTTTTAATAACAAATGATCAAAATGAAACCAAAACTAAACATTATATATGATTTTGAAAAATAAATATTTGGGTGACCAAAACATAACAAAAGTGATAGTTGAGATATTAAATGTGTAGTTTACCCTTAATTTTATTTAATTAATTAATTATAAAATTATTAGAAATTATATTATAAAGGGAAATCTTTTTACATAATAAAGTAAGGTTCTTACACAAAAATGATAAGTGCATGTATCATAATTTATTGATTTGGCCCCTCCCGAAGTTTCATATTGATTTGGTCCCCCAATTTATTGTTATTATATTGATGAATTTGTTAGTTTACACTAACGGTGATGGTTATAAATATAGGTGAATAAAATAATTGAATAATTTGAAAATCTAATCGAATCACATTATTTGAATGGTTTACGATTTAAAAGCTTATAATTATTTAGAATTCATCCACTAATCTTAGTAATAAAAATAAATGTTATTCTTCCTAAAGGTATTGGATTTGAGCATATACGTCTTTAAGGTATATATATATATATTACCAATAATTAAAAAATCTAAATAAATATTATCTTATAATAATCTAAATTAAATCATCACATTTTCAAAACAAACCATGTTAGAAAAACTAAAGATTCTTCACATTACGACTAAGCGAGGCCGGAAGGCTTTAATCATCATCAAATAGGTTAGCACCTACATTATCTTTCATTCATATTTTTACTTAAGTATGAAAATTTCATATATATTTGACTTTTTACAATGTGAAATGAAAAGAGGATGGTAAGCTCATTGAATACCTGAAGTAAAAACTTCAGTAACTCCGATTCGTCAAAATGGTAGCTGCATATCCACAGGTCACGTCATCTTCCTCTCCAACAAGCCCTCAACAATACTCAGTGTCTCGGGTTAGTGTTCTTAATGGTAGTTTGATATATCATGATTTAGATCTAGCAGTCATTTTACCTAAGTATGAAAATTTCATATATATTTTACTATAATAATAAGATGAAGTGGTGGTAGTCGGAGCTGCAAAGGGCAGGGAGGAGTAGAAGATAAGAAGAAAATGGGACAAAGAAAAACAAAACTTTTCAGCTCTAAACCTAACGAGAATCAGCTAGTAACTTAACAAAACCACTTAAGAACAAAACCAGCTTTCATCAATCACAAAAACATCTAATATGATCACACTGTTTCTTCACTTCGTCCAAGAATATCAGCAACGCATGCCCATGTTTCCCCGATTGACTGATCTCTTGTCTCAGAGCTTCAGCAGCTACAGACACATCATTCACCCTTCGGACTACTCCACGGATCTGAGTAATCAAGCGGTTGATGCTCTTCTCTTTCTCACGGCAAGCTTCCTCCGACACATGAAGCGTGTTCTTCAACTCTCTGTCTTTTTCGTCCAAAGTCATCAAAAGAGAATCAATATGATCCTTGTGGCCCTGTACCGAACATTCTAAGTCCCGAATTCTCTCCAACAAAGTCTCCTTCTCAACTTCAAATAGGGCCCTCAGATCCTCATTTTCCTCTTGGGAGAGCCCTACAACCTTTTCCTCATCTTTCATTGACTTGTTCTTCCAGAACTCCCTCTCTCCCTTGAGATCACTAATCTCCTTTTCCCAGTCCTTTATTGATTTGCCTAACCCTGTGTCCTCCGTGGTAAGGTGAAGTTTCTTGTTCTCTAACTGCAACTCTACTATGCCATCCTTCGATGTATCCTTTTTTCTCTTCCCCTTTACCTGAAGATTTTCTCCTCGAAGTCTAGCAATCTCTTCATTCAACCTATCTTTCTCAACTGTTGGTCCAGGGGCAATACTATCTTATCATTTATTCTGTGCTCTCCATAGCTCATAATCTGTAGTGAGCTCATCTGTGTATTTGGTTACCTCTAGATAGAAGGTTTGTTTCTAAACTTCGGAAATCTCACGGATTTTTCCCATGTAACCTTCAGACCAATATGGAAACTCTAACTGATCTAGCCCATGGGTCACAGGTATAAACTGCGGAAACCCAAATTGCCTTTGCACCATCAAGGGCGCTTAACTGACACAGCCCCATAATCCTAGCAGCGTAACCCAATTCTTATTTTCCACAACTGTATAGTAGAGGGGAATGCTGCATCCAACTCTCCATGTGACATCCTCCTTTCTAAGATTTCTGAAAGTAGCAGCCCACTGTTCTACTGTGGTATTCTCCGACCACTCACTCTTGATAAAATCCGACAATGATACTAATGATTTCAAATATAGACGTAGAACCACATTCTCTTTTTTACAAAAGTAGCTCACTATCCAAATGTGGAGAAGTTGTGTGCACCCAATAAATCTTCCTTCCCCATTATTCTTACAATAGTTGAGGGAGAAAATGGTTTCCGCCAAAATTATCGGAGAGGGATTGATTTTATTTTTTAATTTCCAAAACAGATCGACTACGGCGGCCTCTGCATGCCCTAGTTTTTTTCCGGAAAAATCACCAAACCATAAACCGCCAAAGCAAAAATGTCCATCCTTTTTGCATTGTCGAGATCACTTCGAAGTAACTCCCAAAGGGCGTTCCGTGGGATGCACTTGCTATTCCATATTTTCAAGATCCGATCTTCAAAGCATTTGGTGTCCGTTCCCGTTATCATTGCAAGACACTTTTTTCAACGGTGCTGGCTTGTCTTGCCTTACGTGTATCTTATGCGAGTCTGCTGACTCTTATTCGCAACAAGGCAGTATACTCTTCTATAGTTGGGGTCATGTCCTCCCTATTGAAGGTGAAACTCCTATAAGCTGGGTTCCAAAACTGTATTGCAGCTCGGATAAGCGGTTCATTGACTGGCATCAGGAGTGCTATATCCCATATTTCTGACTGAAACTCTCTTTTATCTTCCATAATTCACTGATTCCATATATCCAGTAACTCACTGAGATCATTTTGTCGAATATCCAAATGCACATGGTCAGGCAATACTGACACATAACCTTCCTTCAAACAATCCCCATTCTCCTGCTGAATTTTTTCAGACCATTCACGAACTACACAGTATTTCTTGGTTATTCTACAAACCTCCCTCCATAGTGAAAGTTCCTTCTGTTGGTAGTTACTCCCAAATCAAGACCGAGTCAATAAAAGAAACGCTACAATAAACCACATAATAAAAGTGTACTCCTTTTAGAGTCGAGACTCTATACTCGTTAACAACGCTACTTCCAATCTCAACCCAACATTTAAGATCACACCAAATCACCTACTCAGAGTCTCACCACTTACTAAAAAGTGTACTCCTTTTTCGATCCTATTCATTGCAAGAATAGAAATAATGGAAGAAAAATAGTCACCATTTCCTCAACACCATGTTCTTTAATGGTGCAAGCCTACCGATGCTTTGAAGCATATTAACCCAATCAACCCATTATAGTACTTCTAATGAATGTCGAAGCAAAATCAAACACCATCATAAAAATTCAGTTGCCCAATTACATTTTCCCCAAAACTAGTATCATTAATCCTTTTAAAATTTTCTATAATTCGTGTAAGTTTGATGATGTCTTCCACCGAAAACATTAATCGTCATATTTGTGGAATAAACCCTAAACCCAAAGCAAAAGCAATAACCGCAATTGGTAAATAAAAAGTTGGCAAATTATTCATAAATATTACAGAACTCCTTCCAAAAACCCATTCACAACCAGCTAAATTTCCTTGAGCGAAAACAAATCAAAAACAGCCGAAATTTCAATAGCCACTAACCTCAGAAGTATCTAAGCTTTGAGGTCGATGAATTTGTCTGCAAAAGCAAGCACGATTTCCACTAACCTTTTTTCCCGGGGAGGGGCGGAAGCAACTTAAATTGGGGACAGCAACGAGTAATTAGGCAATTACTTTATTATTTTTAATATATATACTTTTAATAAAATTTATATATATATATTTTTATAAAATTATATATAAATTGGTAGAATAAAAGAGTAAATATATCATATATTATTTTAATTTTAATTAATATTAAATTTTATATAATTTATCTAAAAATATATTAAAATTTTACATCAACATTTAACTAAATAATCATATGAACATTTTAATAAATGAATTATTTAACTCTTGCCAAAATGTACAAAGATGATTTTATTATAAGTGAATGCATTTACTTTTTAAATGTGTATAATTAAATTAAAATTTTATATATACAATTAAACAAAAATAAAAATTATATATATTATATATAAAATTATAAATTAATATTTATGTATTTGTTTTGGTACATAATTAATATTTATGTATTACTTACCCATTTAATAAAATTAATGTGTAATTTTAATAAGAGAAAATAACTTCAGTGACCGAAAATGCCTTATAATATACGATTTTAATCAAATTTTTTTGGATTTGCGAAAATGACCAACAAATTTACAACGCGAACTCCAATTTCGCAACTCAATTTCTAAATTCGCAACACTGAATTTCAAATTTGCAACGCGAATTTTGTTTTAGCAACACGAATTTTAATTTCGCAATAGGTTTTAGTTTCACAATACAAATGTTTTGGGTATATAACTACGCAGCAACAACAACTCATAACCTAAATCCCTAAATCGCAACTCATTTCATCTCCATCTATCACTCTTTCCGGCGACATCTGTTCCTATATCCAACGATATCCTTCCCCATCTCTATTTTTTTTTACATAATTTCATTTCTATATAATTTTTCAATGATTTCTCTCCCAAATTATCAACTATCAACTTAATAAAGATATGTTTTTCTCTAAGTTAGTGATGATATGTAGTTTATAGCTCGTTTGTTTAGTAAATTAATTTACAATTTGTATAATGAAATCATCTAATATTGATCATGTTTGGATAGATTTGTGTTTTGGAGGGTCATGAGAGAATATTAATAGTCTTTTACAATATATGCCTTTACCTATGAATCTTCAACTAAAACTGACATTAAAAAAGTTAACTTATGAAACTCTAATGTTACGTATTTCAAAGAAATTGAATTTAGAGCCTCTAAGTGGATTTAGGATATCTTATTAGAGAAAATGTAAAGTTTATTTGTTAACCGAAAATGAAGATGTTGAACGATTCATTGCTTACATTAGTGTTTAGCAAGAAGATGATGTTACATTGTATGTTGTTGAACCTAGAAGTAGTGAAGTTGGGTCAGTAACGGGTAGTAATCAACTAAGTTCTTCAACCCCAATTTATGGTGCTCATAATATACAACGTTATTATGAACCTCAAAATTTAATGGTTCCACCACAATTTCATCACCAAGAAAATTTTGTTTCACCAGATTTCCAATGCCAAACACAATATCAAACACAATCTCAAAACCCACAACCTTTTCCTAATCCGAATCTCAATCAACTTTCAACACCAAATTCCGATTTTCGTATTGACCAGTTAGATGATTATGAGCCAACAGAAAAAATTGTGAGTACTAGTCAGTATTCGAAATTTGATCTTGGTCAATACCCGGACTTTGATCTTGGTCAATACTCGGGTTTTGATGGTGTTTTAGAAGAAGAAACAGACCATGCGTGTAATGATTTTGATATTGGTCAATACCCGAATTTTGATGATGAAACAGCCGTTGCCGAGGAAGATGTTGTTGATAATAATGAGGAGGAAGTTACGACTGTGAATGAACATATTGAACATCCATTCTGTAATTCATATAACCCTGAAGAAGAAAAAGAAGAAAATGCCACGGGAGTATAATTGGAATATGCCAGAATTACTTCATATACCGGAAGAAGAGTTGGTAAAGATAACAGTTGATTGTTACACAAAAGTTATTCGTATCAAGAAAGATGATTGTTTTGATACAAAGGAAGACTTGAAGATAACTTTGTATACAAAATGTGTGGAAGATGGCTATCAACTAAAAGTTAACAAATCAAGCAAAGATCGTTTCGAAACAAAGTGTATGATTGACAAAAATTGTACGTGGCGTATGATTGCAAAGAGGATAAAAGATTGTGAAATGTTTCAAGTTAGGACTTTTATTGATAAACATACATGTTCAAGAACCCAAGTTTTTCCTCACCATAGACAGGTAAACAAAAAGGTGTTGGGTGGTTTTCTGGCTGAGTTAATGTTTTTGAATGGCAGGGTATATCGGGGACATGAAATTATGACAGACATGAATGCTTGGTTCAAGATTAATATCTCATATTCTCAAGCTTGGAGAGCCAAATGTTATGCCTTGGAATTGTTGAGGGGGTCTTCAGAAGCATCGTTTGCCCAACTGCCGGCTTATTGTCACAATTTAAAGCTGAAAAATCCTGGGTCGGTAACTCATATCAAAACAGATAGAGATTGACGCTTTGAGTTGTTGTTTATCGCCATTGGTGTTACGGTTAGTAAATCAATATAATTTTGTTGACTCATTTTTGTTAGTTACATGCATTTCACATTTAAATGATTATGTCTTGTGTATATTATTTTGTAGATTCGTTCGTTTATTACTTGCATGCTCCCAGTTATTATAGTTGACGGAGCACATTTGAAAGGTCGATACCTTGGAGTAAACTTATTAGCAGTAGTCATGGATGCTAACAATGGGATACTACCAATAGCTTACGGGGTTGGCAAATCTGAAACATCTGATTCATGGACATGGTTTATGGGGCATCTTAGGGATTGCATAGGTCATATTAGCAATCTGAAAATCATATTCGATAGGGCAAACTCAATTGACAACACTGTTAGAAGGTGTTTCCCAGATGCTTTTCATGGACTTTGTGGTGTTCATTTGTACAGAAATCTAAAATCAAGGTCCACTGGTATAAAAAAATCACAAATGGACATACTGGAAGGCTGTAAAAGCTTATCGGGAAGTGGATTTTAATAAGCATATAAATTGTTTAAGACGTGTTTTGCCTCAATGTGCTCAAACACTAGAAGATGTCGAGTTTGAAAGATAGTTAAGAGTACATCAACTTGGAGCAAGATATGGTTTCATGACGTCTAATAGTGCACAATCAATCAACGCTCTAAGTCGTCATTCCCGGAAATTACCCATTACCATGTTAATGGAGTTTTTTCGAGCCTCTATTCAACAGTGGTACTACAAGAAAAGAAACCATGCATGTATTATTTCTTTAAATTCGGAACTTATCATATATTTTACTAAGTATTATTTATTTAAATTTACATGAACATTGGAACGTCGTGTTACACCATGGACTGGAAAAAAATAACAAAACGTGTTGTAAAGTCAACGTCATGGAGAGTTGAACCATGTTCAAACACTTTGTTTGAAGTATTGGATAATAACTTAAATGGGCTTGTCGATCTAAATGCAAAGACGTGTAGTTGTATGAAATATCAAACATCTGGTTATCCGTGTGGCCATGTTATAAAAGTTATTCTTCATCTAAACCAAGATGATTCAAGCGCATACGCTATGGATTGCTACACTACAGAAGTATATCGACAGACTTATGCCGAGATTATCTACCATATTCCACATCCTTCTGAGTGGGACATACCAGATGTCTTACAAACAGTTTTGCCACCAGTCATGGACAATAGGCTACCTGGCCGACCAAAAAATCACGATCGTATACCGTCTAAGGGTAAAGAGAAGAGAATATCGACATGTAGTCGGTGCAAGGAAAATGGTCATATAAGGTTGACATGTGGATCACCAGTGCCATCACAATCATCTTTTCCTTTACCAAAATATGGATCCTCATCAAAATCCAAAGCTCATATG